CCTAATACATTATTCTGCGCTCGCGCCACCGAAGACACGATCCCGCGTACATTGCGCCACGTTCGCGTCCCCGGAGCCACGATCCATGGTAAAATACACCATATTCCAGCCCCTGAGGCCACGACCCCTTGCAAATTCTACCACGTCCTCGCTCCCGACGCCACGATCTCTTACAAGTTACGCCACGCTCGCGTCCCCGAGGCCACGATCCTTTGCGTCCCTGAAACCACGATCCTGCGTCAAATACGCCGTGGTCCAAGAGTACGCGATATGAGACACGGGCGGAAACAGCTAAAACATCGTAAACATTCGCTTGTGCGCACCCCTTACTAGCTCAAGCATCCCAGAACTGCCCACGTGCCCAACGTGAGCCAGAAGGAGACATGAAGCGCCGAAGAGCAGGAGGAAAGGGAGAAAAGGTAATGGCCCACGGTGGCAACTGGAACTATGCGAATCAGATGTCAATAAGTCAATAAGATGCGGAATCCACATCAAATGATATAGCCGCGCATGCGTCAATAGTTGTAATGGCAAAGCACAAGATGTAGATGTGGGAAGTATGAAGTTATAGTAGGTGTACAGACGTTGCAGAAATAAATGCCAGCGCCCCCCGCAAACAAAAAGCGCCCCAGTCGACCCCGAAGGACCCTAAGACGGTCCCAAGAAAGGCCCAAGAGGGAGTCGACGAGCCGAGAACTCGACCTTTCCGCCCCGAGAGGAAACCCCAAGGCCCCAAGAGGCCCCAAGAGGCCCCCAAGAGGCCCCCAAGAGGCCCCAAGGAGACCCCCAAGACATCCAACATGCTGTTTCCAAGAGGCCCCAACGAGACCCCCAAGAGGGGTGAGAACCCCAAGAGGCCCCCAAGAGGCCCCAAGGAGACCCACAAGAGGCCCAAGGAGACCCCCGCGCAGCCGCCCGCACTATTAATAGGGGGCTGGCGGCAGAGGGCGACGCTCTTTATATGTATATATATATATATATACCTATGTACACATTTGTACATGTATGTATGTTAACATGTAAATGTTGTATGATTGCATAACGATTTACGTACGCATGTGCGCACGCGCGTGCAACCATATGTATCTGCATTCTGTATATGCAAACGCGCACGCACATACGCAAATGTGTATACTACACGTGCTGCGTATCTAGGTGTGTCCATGTCACACATGAAGGGGACAGAGAGAGAGAGAGAGAGAGAGAAAGAGAAAGAGAGCAAAACAAACAAACAAAATCAAACATATAACGACAAACACACAGTACACACATCATCTGACCGTCGCCGCACAACGTCTGGGCCCGTCCTGGAAGTCTGCTGGGGCTGTCGTGGGGCCGTCTGGGGGCCCTGCCGGGCCGTCTTGGGTCCCCGCCACCCCCGCCGGCAAGATGTGGCAGCGCCATCGATCCCTCGACGGCGAGGGCCTTGCTTCCGAGGCCTCGCCGCGAGCTCTTTGCTGGAGCGTCCCGCTCGTGCCAGGGCCACCGTCAATTGAGCAGAGACCGGCCGTCACGGCATTCTCATAGGTCTACCACGACATGTTCCTAAAACCAAAAAATGTTATTTGAACAAAACCAGCGTTCTTAGAACGTAAAGCCAATGTCTTAAAACAATACAGTCCCAACCATAAATGTTCTAAGCACATGTTGTGCAGACCGCGACAGGTTATTCTAACATTCTCTGGTGGACCTAGAGGACAGCCAAGACGCTTCGCCACAGTTTCAGCCAAGAGGGGAGACGCTCGGGCCACCGGTGGGGGCGCATCGACTCCCAATCGCCCGTTGATCGCCGATAGGGGGCCCGATGGCCCACCCCGCCCAAGAGCATGTGGCTCGCCAACCCATCGGCGATTGCAGGTCGACAGGGCGTGTGGCAGAGGGTGGGACTCGCGACTCAGTCGCATGCGGCTGGCTTCGAGTCGCCACTGCACAGGGGATACCGCCTGTCGAAGAGGACGAAACCGGTTGCGTGCAACAGCTTTCGTAACCCCCGCGCCCCCCCCGCTTCGGCAGCCCCGCCCGTCGACCCTCGACCCTCGATCCCCGACCCCCGATCCTCGACCCCCGACCCTCGATCCTCGGACCCCATCGGGCCCGATTGGCACGACGAAGACGAGTCCCGAGGGACGCGGGCCTCGCCCCGGGCCACCTTTTCATCCCGAGCGGCTTCTCGTCAGTCCGGGGGTCCGTGGAGGGCCCCGAGAACCCGAGCCCCAGGTTTGGCCGACGAGGGATGCGTTTGGGGGAGACCACCCTCGGGGGGCCAGCCGCATCGGCAATCTCTCGAGAGGGGTGTCGAAGTCGATGCCCCCCCAGAGGGGCAAGGGCCACAGCTCCTCCAGTCCAGCCACTTGCCGTCGCTCAGGCGTCCGCTTCCCGTGCATGTGTCGGCTTCCTGCGTGTTTTCCTGCCCGATGGCCCAGGACGGTCTTCGATGGTCCCCTCCTCTTCTGCCTCCTCCTCCTCCTCCTCCTCCCTCCTCCTCCTCCTCCTCCTCCTCCTCCTCCTCCTCCTTCTCCTCCTCCTCTCCTCCTCCTCCTCCTCCTCCTCCTCCTCCCTCCTCCTCCTCCCTTCTCCCTTCTCCCTCCTCCTCCTCCTCCTCCTCCTCCTCCTCCTCCTCCTCCTCCTTGCCGAGAATAAAGTGCACACGTCCGAGCGATGCCGAGGCCGAGGCCAAACGGGGGGCCACCGCTGGGGGGGGCCAGCCGCTTCCTCGAGCAAGGCGCGCCGTGCCCTCGAGGGCAACGGGCCCCCCCGGAGCACTCCGGGAGCCCTCCCCAAAAACAGCCCAGGGCGCCCAAGAACCCCCTCGAGCTCCCCTGCCAGACCCTCGACCCTCAGGAGGAGCTCGTGACCCCGCAAGTAAAGAGGGGCCCAGGGACACACAAAGGAACAAGCACGAATCCCAGGACTCCCCGTATTTTCTGGGTTTTCGTCTCCCCCCCCCACTTCCCATATTTCCCCATACTTTCCTGGGCGTCGACGATTACTTGTGTCTGTGTGTTTCTCCCCCTCCTGATTAGTTCGCGGTGGCCACCTCCCAGCGCTGCCCGAGTCATGGGGCCCGTGGAGGGCCCGCAGACCGCGAAACCTCTCCGGGCCCGTTCCCCTCGGAACCCGCTCCCAACGATCCAGCGACATGTTTTTTCTTATGTTTGTCCAGCGCGCGGGCGTAGAGAGATCCCGACCCCGCCGTTTTGGGGGCAGCTCTTCGTCCTGGATCAACTTGTTTTAGAGTGGCCCTGCGGCCCAGCGACGGTCCCATGCGGGTCGAGACCGCAGAACAACGCCCGGATTGGAACCACCGTGTCGGAGACCAGAGTTTGCGCCAGGTCGGGCGTGTGCCCCTACAAGCGGATTCTCGACGAAGAATAAGACATAGTCCCAAAAATACTCCGAACTGGTCGAACATAATCGCAACATCGTCCCCTGACTATGTTCTGACTATGTTTGAATATTCCTCCTGTTGAGGGACGTGCCCGGCTCAAAATGTTGCGTCACGGCGACGCCTCGAGGGCGGCGCTTTCGGGTTCGTCTGGCTTTCGAATCCTATCCTGGGCCTCCGCCGGCCGTTCTGGACGATCCGGGAGCCCCTTGGAGCGCTTTCGACGAGGCGCAGCCTCGGAAAAGCATCCCGAAGATTCCGCCTTCATCTCGTCCAGATTTCATTACGTCCGCTTCATTTCGTCCGCTTCGATTCGTCCGCTTCGAATCGTCCAGCTCCAACCCGTCCAGGCTGCGAAAGAAGACGAAACAAAAGAGGACGAAACGACCGAGTACGACTCCAAAGAGGACCACACGACAGCGGACGAGATGAGAGCCCACCATCCCGAGGCTGGGAAACCTCGAAATACCTTGGCAAACCAATCTGCACCGATATCGCTACTCCTCGGCTTCTGACCACAATTTCGAAGCGAATCCAGCGGTGGCGACGAGGGCCTCCAAGGAGGTCGAAAACAGAAGAAGGATAAACGAGGCAAGGGTAGAGACATCGGCACCTGCAGCCAGCAATAGGATCAATCAGGTTATGACTTAAGAACTCTGTGCCAGCTTCTCAAGGAAACTTCTTGGAACGAGCCTGGGCGAATTTCTGCTGCTACCACTGACTTGTCGAGCATACTCAAGAAGCTGGGCCGGCTTTCCCACAAGCTGGTTAAGAAACGCTGGCCCCGCTTTTCGGGGGATCGGAAACCTATCGACACCACCCCACCTACGGCCCCAGGTTGCCTAGCGTATACCAGGAGATCTGGCGCGGGCTTGTGCGTGGTATACTACAGTGGTATACGCTACTGCGCCCGATGGGCCGTAGCGCAACATGGAGGGCTGCAGGTGGGGTGGTGCCGCTTCATTTTCGGGTGGAATGCGCTACGGCGCCCGATGAACCGCAGGAGGGCCGTAGGTGGGGCGGTGTGTTTTTTTTTGGGGGGCGGCGATCTTCATAAGATGCTCGACTGTACTCGCGATGTGGATGCTGACGGAATCGGCCGAAAACTTCGAAGCTCGAAGCGTTTGGGCCCTGCGCGCCCGCCGCCGCCGGGGCCCGAGCCTGCCGGGCCCCCGACGGGCGGCGAGGCCCGGGGCCTGGGCTCGCCGCGGGGGGGGAGGAGGGGGCGCCTGCCCCGAGCGCGGCAGAGCCTGCTGTGCGCGCGGGCGCAGGCCCTCCTCGTCCTCCTCGTCCTCCTCGTCCTCGTCGTCCTCGTCGTCCTCGTCGTCCTCGTCGTCCTCGTCGTCCTCGTCGTCCTCGTCGTCCTCGTCGTCCTCGTCGTCCTCGTCGTCCTCGTCGTCCTCGTCGTCCTCGTCGTCCTCGTCCTCGTCGTCCTCCTCCTCCTCCTCCTCCTCCTCCTCCTCCTCCTCCTCCTCCTCCTCCTCCTCCTCCTCTCCTCCTCCTCCTCCTCCTCCTCCTCTCCTACTCCGCTTCCACCTCCTCCTCGTCTCCTCCTCCTCCCCCTCGCCCGCCTCCTCCTCCTCCTCCTCCTCCTCCTCCTCCTCCTCCTCCTCCTCCTCCTCCTCCTCCCTGCTTCAACCGCGACCCCGGCACCAATCCCTCTGTAGGATCGGTGGCCACCAGGGTCAGGCGTGTGAGGGCGCGGTTAACGTCAGCACTGTACACCCCCACGGCCTGCGGGCAACGGCCCCTGACCCAAGCCGGGGGGGGGCAAGGAAAATTCAGGACACGGCTGAGCGGCCTCGCGCCCCCATCGGGGCCAAATCGAAGAACCACGATGCACTCTTATTCAGCCGATCCGCGGCCCTCCCCGGCGAAGGGAGGCCAGGCCATGAGAGCCCAGGCGGCCCAAAGCAACGGAACCAGGGGGCGGCGGCAAGCGCGAAAGCGCCAGGAGCGATTCAACGATGACAAAAACAAAAAAACACAATCCGTCGTAACAGCGCTGGGGCTGGCCAGCGGACCGCAAGAGGAGGGAGGAGGAGGAGGAGGGGGAGGGGAGTAAGCCACCACGGCTACGGAATCAAACACAGTGCCAACATGGATACGGCGAAAAGCATCAAGCCGATTCTGCTGCCAATAACAGCTCCGCGTTGCGCGTCTGCAGCAGCGCAGAGAGCGACTGCCAGGCCGAGCCCAGGACCCGAGACCGCTCGACTGGGTCCTCCGGCGCGCACGCGCGGAGAAGGGTCACGGCGTCGTCCCCCGGTCGGCCCAAAGCCTCGATGGCAAATGGCACGAGGTCTGGCCCTGGGTACCGGAGGCGCTTGCCGTCCTCGGCCCGCGCGGCTGCCGCGCCATCCCGCGCTGCTCGCGCACGGAGGAGCTCGGGGCAGGTGGAAGAAGCAGCGGGGACGCAGACGTCGACGTATGCACGTTGGGCGTTTTGGTCATTAAAAACAACGTCCAAGCGCGCGCGCTCAGTCTGCTCCTCCCCGTCCACCTCCACCACTCGGTCCCACTTCGGCACGAACTGCTCGGTGAGCACTGGGGCGCCCGTGACGCCGGCGATCCAGGCAGCCAACCAATCACGGATGCTGTCATGTCTCCGGACAACTCCGCCACCGACTTCGCACGTCAGAGCGTGGTGCCCCCGGCCGTCCACGGCGCAATTGCACCTGTGCCCCAACTGCGAAGAGCGGTGCCCGCAAGTGCTAGCGGGTGGGCGAGCGCCCAGTGCTCCCGGGTGCGGAAGCTGCAGCCGCAGGCGCACGGCCACCATGAAGTGTTCATCTGGTAGAAGGTGGCTCTTCTTGGTGGGCGGGAGCAGGAAAGCGCCGCCCTTGTCGCCCGCGGAACGGAGGTCGGCGCGACCAGAGACCTCGAGGTCGCGCAGCAATGTCTTCCGGCACTCCGCACTGATATGCTTCATCAGCGCCTTCTGCTGCTTCGCGCGGCTGGCAACAAAGCAGGCTGCCCAGTCCGCCTGGTAGTTGCGGCACCCCAGCCGGCGGAGCTCGTCTCCCGCGACCGTCAGGGTAGCCCCCGTGCGCGGCGCCCCAGCGAGGAGGGCGTCGGCCGAGCGCGACCCCCGCGCCGCGGCGACGTCTGAGAGGCACTGTTGCCAGGAGGCAATATACGCCGCACTCCTCGTCAAACGAGCTGACTGCAGCCCCAAGCCTCCGACCCGGCACGGCAGCCACAGCAGCCGTTGCTGTTGCAGGGTGAGCTGGGCGCCCAGAAGCTGCTCCAGGAAGGCAACCACTCGGCCGTCGTATTCTTCGCGCCACTCCTCGTTCGCAAAGCACCCTCTGAGCAGGTGGTTGTTGGCCCCGCCGACGAAGGTGCGGAGCAACGTGAAAGCGGTCTGAACGCGCAGGCCCGCGGCTAGCAGTGCTCGCGCCCTCCCCGGGAACGCGTCCAAGGCCTCCAGCGACGCCTGGAAACGGCTGTCTGGCACAAGAGGGGCCCCGAGGCGATGCTGGTCGTCTTCGTCGAGAGCCGCTGTGGTGAAGCGCATGGCGTTTCCGAGGCATCGCAGCTCGTTAACCCTCTGGATATCGACCTGCGCCGGCATCGGTACAGCCGGGCTGGGCACCCACAGTTTGGACTTGGCAAGCTGGAGCTCCAAACCGATGCCCTGCAGCGCCTCCCTCGTGACAGCGACGGCTTCCGCGGCGAAGCGAGAATCGATGACGACAAAAACATCGTCCAGGTAGGCATGCGCCCGCGCCTGCGGATCTACAGAACGAAGCCGCTGATCGATAGTCGCCAATGCCGGGGCCAGCGCCGCGCAGAACAATCCCGGGCTCAAAAGGCAGCCTTGGTCAACTCCCCTGGCGGACTGAACTGGCCAAGCCTTTCCGGAAGAATCCCAAAACCAATGCGTAGATGAACCACTGTACCACGCATCAGCTATGCGACCCAGGAGCGTTCCTGCACAAGCTGTCCGCATTGCCGGCCGCGTAATCATGTTGAATGCATTTTTACAATCAAAAGATAAGAACGCTGCAGCAGGGCGCTCTTCAGCTGACGCCACGAGGATTTTGTGCATGACCTCCACTCCAGCCGGCCTGGATATGCCATATTGGTGTGGGCCCCCCAGCTCGCGGAGTGCGTCAGCCTCCACTTTGCGCACCGCACGGGCGATGATGCGCCGCAGAATGCCGCCACAGGAAAGCGGCCTGACGCCTCCCTCAGCTTTCTTCAGAGCCATCAAACGGCCACCAAGATGAGCCTGGAGAATGTCCTCCGGCTCCTCTCCGAACAAAAGACTGATGAGGACGACGCCGGCTGCCTGCAAGCCCTCGGGGTGATGTCGCAACGCCCCCCAATGCTCGCACCTGGACCCTGACGGCCCCGCCCCAGCAAGCCGCGGAAAGCGAGAAATGCGTGCAGCGATTTCCCTTTCAATGGCGGATCTCTGCTGCGCGTCCGGCGCTTCCACCTCCATGCCCGCAGGCGGGGCCATCGCCAGTCTGGAAGCATCAGGGTCGAACAGCGCCTTGAGCTTCTCGGCGGTGCCTGGGCGACCCTCCATGTCCGACTTCCCGGATAGGGCGGCCGTGGCTTTCGACGCCTCGCCGGCCAGCAGCAGCGACTCGATCCTACGGACCTCTGCGTCCGCCCGTGGACGTGGAATACCTGGCCTCTCGACCACATTGCCGTGCCAAGCTCCAGAGTTGCTGCCAAGAGCCCTCCCGAACAAGTGCAAACGATGCGAAATTATGTGGTCAACCTTTTTCTGTTTCGCCCCCTTGCGCGTGGAAGTTCGAGCAAAAAGTAGGCGGTCCATGAAATCCAGAAGCTCCCACAAACGAGCAGCCTCCACATTTCGTGGCTCACGCTGCTGGAGCGCCACCAACACTGCCGCCCGGGCCTCGGCGCAGGCAAGGAGAAGAGGCTCCGGGATGTTGGCAATCGTAGGGACCTACTCCAGATCTCTGGCCGCCACGTGATCCCACCAATCCAGATGTCGCAAAGCGCCGTCCTCAAACGAGCCATCAGGATCATCCGCCTCTGGGACCGGAGGCGGGTCGGCAGGCTCAGGCTCCTCGGGTTGCACGCGGTGTCGACGCCTGCGTTTGCTTGCCACGTAGGCCTCCCGGGACATCCCCTCCCCGTCGGCGAAGGCGATGATCTGTGCCCGCGCCTTTTCCCCGACCTCCGAAACCCCCTCGATGTCCTCCAATTGCCCTAATCCTCCTGGGATGCAGGCGGGGTGGAAGTGTTTGCCTTGCCGAAGGTCCGAATGCCGTGACCGAGCCCGAGCGTCGCCGGGCTCGACAGGACGATGGCATGACCTGCGCGCAGCTGTCTGCCTCCGAGCCGGCTGCTCGGTGACCGCCCAATCAGCGCACGCCTGGCCAGCTGGCCCTGGATGGGAGGCTTCCCCGATGCGTTGTCCCCGCAAGCCGTAGCGTGCCGAAGTACGCCTGCTCCTGAATGTGGATGGGGATGCCGATGGGAGAGCCTGCGCGACCGCAGGCCACCGGGAGCCGATCAGGGGGTCCCACACGACGTCGTTCGCAGCGTTGTGGAACTCCTGCTCGTACGCTCGCCTCCGGCGGGCTGCAGCGCGGGCCCGCTCTGCTGCCGCCCGGGCGGCTCGCGAGAGGCGAGGCGGCGGCGCCTGGTTCGCAGAGACTGCCGCGGTCGCTAATGCCCCTGCCGACTTTCCGAACACAGCAGTCGCAAAGATGATCCAAGGCCAAACGATGCAATGGAAAGCTGAATGATGAGAGAAAGAGAACATCGGCAAATGTTGGATGCAGAGTTTAGATGGTGGGCGGGAGGATTCGGTCTGCGGAATCGCCGCCTGATCCTCCTCCTCCTCCTCCTCCTCCTCCTCCGCCTCCGCCTCCTCCTCCCCCTCCTCCGACTCCGACTCCTCCTCCGACTTCGCCCCCCCCCCCCCCCTCCTTTCCCCCTCCCACTCCCGCTCCTCCTCCCCCTCCTCCTCCTCCTCGTCCTCCCCCCCCGCCCCCCCCCCCCCCTCAATATCGTCAGCGATGGCGGAAGCCTCGTGGATGATGAAGGCGAAGCACTGCCTCGACTATCTTGATAATCACCTTTTCCTCGCCAGCGGTCGCGAACTGCATGCTGATATCAGTGGCCCCTGGTGGGCCCAGTCCTGGAGCGCTCTCTTTAGCGCTGAGAGATACGTGTGTCCCGGTAGCTGGCTCCAGGCCCATGGGCGCCCCTGAATCAAAATGGTTACGGCGAAACAGACACGCACTCGGTCCCAAGGCCCAGATGGGATCGGCCGGCCAACATGCAATTACATTTACACAGGGTAAAAAAGTGTTGGCCTCAGACAGATCAAGCTCACTACATGTGGTCAGACACTCTCGCGCAAGTGAGCTCTATGATATTAGCGGCACAGTGCCAGGCAACTCTTCACATCACAACTGAAACGAACATACAATATGACAATTCTAACGCAGCAAGCGAAATTTTGAAATACTGAAAGAGCAAGCATGCCCCAATCACCTGGAACTCGTATTTGCAAGTCTTCGGGCTCGACATCGGATGTGTCGAAACCGCTCAGGCCTCACTTCCGAATTGATTCGAACTCTGGCTCATGAACAAGCGTCCAGTAGCTCCTGCACGTGAAGACATCCAGCAGCTTTGCCTCGCCCTTGATATTCGCACAGCCGTCTGCCACCTGCGCCTGCAAATGAACCCAAAGAAATTCGGCACCGCATTCTTGAAATCCCTGCTTGGACGCCATGCGTTCTGTGGCCGCGCGATTGTCGCTGAGACCTTGCGAAGAGTTCTTCGAGCCCGCGACTGCATCGTAAAGGCTCTTGGCGTCCGTGACCAGCACGCTCTGGGGTCCGCCCCTGATGAGCTCGTAGCGCTTGTCGCCCTTCAGCTGCACATTTGCGCTCAGCATCTCCATCCAGGCGAGCCGCGTGCATGGCAGCTACTCTGCAGCTTCGCTGGCTGCCTGGGTCTCTGCACACAGAGACGACCTGCGCTTTGTCGTCAACTTCTGTGAAGCCCCAGCGAGCACAATGAACTTCTGCTTGTTGCCGTTACGCGCCTCCTTCTCCATAGCGCACATCACGCAGCCCCCATGGCAACTGCCGTCGGCCCGCGAAAACCACGAATCATCGAAACAACACGCCCGCGCCATATCTTCGTAAGGATGAACGGAAGAACCTGTGCTGGCAAACGCATGGGTGGTCTTCGCAAGCTGGTCGATCGTGAACCGAAATCTGTGGCATAATATGATTCGGAAACCATTGTGGTTGGCCGAGTCTGGCCCTGCATGTGGTGATATTGGTGTACTCCCCCGCTATCTCAAAGTCGACCACATGAGCGAAACTGAGTTCCGATCACCTTGTGGTTCGAGTCGACCATTGCGAAGAGACGCGGCTCGAGCTTGCACGAACCGGCCCCTGCTCTCAAGATCCTTCTAGACCTTCTCATGCCATCGCCTCGGTGCATTGGTCAAACCATCGCGCGCCTTGAAGATGTGAACCACATTGTCGTCGTTCAGGTTGGCTGCGTCTCTGAGTCGTGGCACTTGTAGCGCGCAACTGTCGCCCCTCTTGAATAGCTCCCCCTTGTAGGAAGGCCGAAGATGCATCTGCCAGCCAAGTGCGCCGTTCGCTGTTGTCCGCCATCTGGTGCAGCATCATCCGCGCACGCCTCGATGGCGTAGATGGCTCCGTCTTGAGCGTCTCGAGGTCCTCGTCGGCACCGCCGATGAGTGCCTGCCTGGCCTTCGCCACCTCACCGCCTTCTGCTCCTGGGCCCTCCTTCCGCGTGAAGCCCACGTCGCCCCCATCAGGTCGACGTCCGGCTTCTTGCTCCTGGGAGCACCGCGGCGCGCCAGAGCAAGCGTGAACTGATTAACCTCTTCATAATAACCACGTCGAACTTGGTCCTGTCTACGTCTCCCAACTGCTTGTAGCTCACCACGATGCGTTGCCGTCTCGCCAGTGTGGCGACGCGCAGGCGGGGCCCTTCGCGAAGCGGTCGAAGGCTGCCTTGGAAGGAACTGCGATGGACACGTAGACTGACTCCTGTCTCTCGGCGTTCGCATCCTGGTCCTCGTCGGTCTTTTTCAATGCAGTTCGGTTTGCCCTGAACTCGGACCTGAAAACTCATCGCTGCCCCTTCCCCTTTGGATTCCAAAACTCGTACCCTGACGTGCCATGTTGTTGCGACACTCTCGTCGGCACCCCCCCGTTGTCGCACTTGCCGCGCATGTCCCTCGCCTGGTGGATATGCAGACGCCAGATTGAGTGACGATGTCGTCATCCTCGCCCTTGGCACTCGCCGACTTGTCGTCATCCTCTGTCTTGTCCTCCGCAGCCTTGTCCGACCTTGGTCGTGCGTCTTCGGGGGGCAGCAGCCCGCTGCCCATTGTCCGGCATGCGCGAGATGGCTCCTCCACCCACGCGTCGTCTTCGTCGCCCATGTCCAACGGCGGCAGGCCGATCAGGTCCTCGAACTCGCTCCGCTTGACCTTGGGCATGGCTGCTGTCATGTTAAGAGGTTACTTCTTCTCCGTGAAGCGGTGCATCTCTGCCTCGATCTCGGTAGCTGGCCGAAAATGTCCACGTCCCGCTCGTAGAAGTCGGCTACGTTGCTCTATCCAGACCACAGATCCAGGCTGCCCGTCCCGGCGCCTTGATGTTGCCCAGGGCCTTCTTAGACAACCAGTGGCATAACTGTCCAATGGCCCACTTTCTCTTCCCCCTCGTCTCGCGCAACTCA